AAAAAAAAAAAAAGTATCTCAATTAACAGATGGAAAAAAACCTGTTAGATTTTTACTATCTTACAACTCCCAATGAATTAATGGTTCTAGGCACTAAGCATTAATAGCAGTTAACATCACAAAAAAACAGAGCCGACTGGTGAAAGAACATACCAGCGTCTAAGGTCTTGCCATAGGGTTCAAGCATGAGTCTGAGAAGGCCTGTGGATCAAGCTATCAGTCTGCAGGAAGTGCAGAGGACAGAGAGAAGAGGTGAGTTGCACCAAGAGGGCAAGCAGCAAAATTCAGACCGTGGGAAAGCCTACGGGTTAAACGCGTGGGATTCTTCCAGAGATAAACTGTTAGAGAAAAAAAGGAGTGGAGGAGGCAGACATGGGTGGGGAGTGGAGAAATGAAAGGGAAACCTGTAGATTAAAAGGGTGTTAAAAGATACAAATTTCCTTTAAATAGGTAAGATTAAACCATAATAGTCTTGGGGTGTACACCTGGTGATAATACTATAAAGAAATGCAGGGAAATGTCTACTTTAAAAAGCAGGATAGTGGTTGCTTTAGGGACAGAGAAGGCTGGTGATCAGGATGTGGCACATGGATGGGGTTGCAAGGGCAGGTAGCAAAATTCTAATTCCTGACTTAGGTGATGGTTATGAGCATGTTTGCCTTCAGATAACTCACTAAACTACATATTTGCTTTGTGTGATTTTCTGTATTTGTGTTTTATTTTACAAAAAAATGGTTTCTTTTAAAGGAAGATTTATATCATTGGGTAACATAAACAGAACATTTATGACAACATTTAAAATAACGACATTTATTTAAATTATATGAAACATTTAAAATAATTACATGAAAGTAAACAATATTATTAAATTCCAGCTAGCTACTGTAGCCTGAGGAAGGCTCCGAGGCCTATTTTCTATATTAAAAAGGAGACTAACAAGTGTCATCGAGTGTTAATGACATGCTAGCACCCGATGAGACTTTTGTCTTGACTTAACCAGGTCTTGAAAGAGAGCTGAAAAGGGAAGAACTTGCTCACTTCGAGATTCAGGATTATTTTATCCTTGGCCATGTACCAGCTTAACTCATCTCCTGTTTCACTCAGTCATCTCATGGACCATCCCACATCCTACACTTCTGCAAACACTGGGTTAAAAGCAGGTCTGGTGCTTACGGCTATGTCAGACCTAAGAGGGGGTTGAAAAACAAAACCTTACCTTTCTCAGATCATCCACAGATTCATTTTATTCCTTCCAACCCTTTCTAAACATGCTTAAAAGGTTTGCTTTTCCATTACGAGCATTTAAGCAAGTGACCAACACTACGATCCAGAGAGAGCTGCTTGTTCTCATCCTAGTAACCAGCACACACACTTCACTACGCTCTTACCAGGCACCTCCAGAGCCTGGCAATAATCTGCCTCTGCCTTTACGCCTAATGTGCTTGGAGGCTCTCAAGTGACAAGAGGCCCTGTATCTGAAAGCGCAAATCAAAAATAAGTGCAAAGCCCTCCCTCATCTGAACTCCGTGTCTTAAAACAAGGCACCACATCCTGAGTTGCTGGCTCATCAGCTAGGCCAATCTGACCTCAAAGCCCTTTAAAAAAAAAGGTACATCAGATTACATAATAGACGTAATATAAACTTGTAACGAGGAAAGAAAACTGAAATTCAAATTGAGCTCAGGCATGCTTTTAAAACATTTATCTAAAACACATACCAAAAAATTGGCCTGATTCTCCTATAAATGTTGAGAACAAGTCTAGTTTTACCTTATCTTAGCCCCCACCCCCCCACCCCAGGGGCAACTTTTGCTACATTCATTTGAAGAGAAAGAAAACACAGGCCAGGACAGTTTAATTTTTCTGGCAATGCTGCTCATGAGAGAGAAGAACAGTCACACCCACACATAGAGACGGAGTTCAGGCAGGAGCTGAAAGGGAACTTGTATAACAAAGGAAGATTAGAGTCCTGTCCTCAACGTCTGTATCTTAATCAGTCTCCCTTGAGCCAGCTGACCCGTTTCCTTTCCCCTCTCACCACCTCCTGCCTCCTCTGCATTCTCTGCCCTCTTTGTCTTATGAAGCCTCAACACCCCAGCTTACTCATAGTCCTTCCCTTGTTCTTTTATTTTCTGCCTCCTCACGAGACTTGTATGCAAACAAATGCTCAAACATACACAGACCTGCTAAAATGTCTGGAACGGAAATCCCAAGTTCCACTCACTACATAGGTGCTTATGGAGGCCCAGTCCACTGTTTCCATGATTTCTGAGAAAAACACACCTAATTCACACTCCCTGGATCATTTCCATGAGAGCAGGTACACCCCCGGGTGGTAAGGACCAGATCCCTGGCTCAATTTCCTATGAATATCCAGAGTGAAGGGCCCCCTTCCATGAATACCCCTCTGATCAGGTGAATTCATAAATGTCTAAACAGGAAGCTCTCTCTCCATATCAGCACCTGATGAGTTCAAGACTGTAAGAAGAAAAGTAAAAAACATCCACATTTAACTCTCTATTCTAGAAATGACTATGAGTAAAAGAAACCCAGAAGTGTTTAGAGGCCAGCTGAGTTCTACTTAGCAACACAATGTATTACTTGGGTGCAAAAGACAGCAGCTCAAGTCAGACCCAATACTTCTTCAGATACCATCCTGGACTTGTGCCATTTTCCTCAAGACAAGGTGTCCAGGTCCATAGGCCTGTTTAGGGGCAAATCTATAGCGGGAGAACGGTGGGGTGTTGCAGGGAAGAGGAGAGGGGCACTTGTAGCTTGGATTTTTCACCCAAGCCCTTTCCAATGGCCAGCAGAGAAATATGAGAGCCTGTTTAAACATTACTTACTGCCTGTTGGATATCAGTCTTCACCTGCTCACTCAACATGCCTTCAAAGACAAACGAGTCACCAAACTTCTCAGCCTATAAAGAAGGAAATAAAAATCCAGAAAAGGTTGTAGTGACGTGCTTCACACGTGCCATTCTCTTTGCACACTATTAAAGTGATTCTTCTTGTCCATGTGAACTTAAGTTTTTCTTATGACTTCCCAGAGGTTTCAGAAATGACTTAAAAGCATCTAGCTTCCTATTAAGACAGGTTAACGTCACTTACAAGAAACCATTTTCATTTAAGGCTCATTTAGCTGATAAGAATACAGACTGGAAGAGATTAGCTTTTGAGAATGTGATTGTTCCTGCTGATGGAAACACATCTCCCCAAGTATTACAAATGACTTTGGAAAAAAAACAGTATTCTTTACATGTCAGATAATATAATCAACCTTTGTCCTTTGCTCTGTTCCTGGAATCTAGCTAAAAGAATTAAATGTCATTGTTTGCTGATATTCTGACATAGTCTAGCTCCACTAAGGTGTCAACTGTGCTTATAAATCTCAAGTGGCCAGTTCAAGCATCAGATGGAAATCTGTATTTTAATTATTATTATTTTTTTATTGATGTCTTAATAGTTTATAACATTGTGAAATTTTGGTTGTACATTTTTGTTTGTCGATCACCATATACACGTCTCCCTTCACCCCTTGTGCCCACCCCCCACCCCCACTGCCCCTGGTAACCCTAAAACAGTTTTCTCTGTCCATGTGTTGGTTTATATTGAACATATGAGTGAGATCACACGGTGTTTGTGTTTCTCTTTCTGGCTTATTTCACTTAACATAATA